CCTGCCTGGCCTGAGGTGTGGAAGACAGTGGTGCTGATCTTGGGCTGGGATAATAACTTGATACTTTACTTTCTTACAGTTGTTTCCTCTCTTTGCTCCTGGTGGCGGCTGTGGTTTGGAAGATCAAACAAAGTTGTTGGGCCTCGAGGCGTAGAGAGGTAAGCCTCAATGGATGAAGATTAAAGAATCCCTGTAAGAGCTTTTTTCCTTTTCTTTTTGTCTTAAGCAAGTCATTTTTAGCTATTTTGTGACGACTGATAGATTTATCCACAATAAGAATAGTGCCACCCTTAGAGAAGCCCTGGTGGCACAGTGGTTAAGTAATATGGCTGCTAAACCAAAAGGTCGGCAGTTCGAATCCACCAGCCGCTCCTTGGAAACCCTATGGAGCAGTTCTCCTCTGTTGTGTAGAGTTGCTGTGGGTCAGAATCGACTCCACAGCAGCGAGTTTATGTAGTATATAGTCAGTAGACTTTGATTAGTGCTACAAAGTCTAATCAATTCTACAGGGTTTTAACTTTCTAAAAGGAAATTCTAGTATTATTATAGATGCCAAGTGTATTCTTCTTACCAAAATCCCAAGTCTTGACACTTGAAGTGGGAGCTCTGAGGGCTTGTTAACAGGGCCACATCCAGCACTTGATTTGGCACAGCCTTCATAAAAGCCTTTCATGAGAATGTGGCTGAAATCAGCCATTTAGGCACCTGAAGAATTTCTCATTATTCAAAAAAAAGATCCATGTGTGTCCAATTAAGTTTTTACTTAAATTTTATTTTTTAATATGAATCTTGATTTTTTTTTCCAGAGCAAAAGTAGCATTAATGAGTGAAGCAAATATTTACAGTTGACAACTTCAAATAAATAAACTTGGTTAAAATTACAACTAAAAACTTAAGTCTATTGCGACTTTCACTTGTGCTTTTACTTTGCCCCTTTCAGTCATCATGTCAATTGCATTGTTGCTAAGGGAACACTCCTTGGTTTTCTATAGAAACTCATGCCTCTTTCTGTGTAAAAATTTACAGACAAATTTAGAAGAGAATGGAAATATATAAAAATCACAACTCTCAAGCATTCAGCCTGCTCTTAGAACATTACTGTCTCTAACAGGGTTAAGGGAGGCTCCAGGCCTGGGCCACCCTCTAGGCTGTGATGCCACCTTTTCTGACACACTCAAGGGTGATGTTATCATAGATGGAATGTTACATCCTCTTTATTATCCTTATTTTTCA